AAAACTTAGCTAAAAATTGATCTTCTATGCTCATCTCCATGTAAATATAGACCATTTTCCAATAGCAAATACATTATCCCTTATGCTCATAAGCATTTTAGATTATATATGGTGAGGACACAAAATTAAACTTAGTTTGATCAAAAATCTCCATTATCCAGGCATTTCCCTACAATGCACCAAATGTTTTTATGAGTGCCTGAACTGATTATAGATTATGGCATCATTTCAGCAGAGAGACATGATTGCCGCATTTTAAGAAAAAGAAAATAGGTAGCCTGGAATTTTCAGACATTTTTCTCTTCTTGCCGCCTCTCCCAAGCCAGTCTTTATTTAAGCTACTTTCTACACTTTTCACTTTATTGGTAACCCATGCTGAATTGCAAAGCAATAGGAACAAAATGTGACAAACATCCAAGTGGTTATCTTTTGCAGTGAACAATTAATTGGGGTTCTGTATGTAATTTGAAAGCCCTAGCTCTATCTGGAATCCTTTAGAATACATCTGCTAAATACATTACTCAGGCTCAAATTTTTGTAGGCTATCATGCTTATCTGTCTTGGAAGAAGTACGTAAGAATGCTCCTTAGAAGTGAGGATGGTGAGACTTCATCTCACATACTTTGGTAGTGTTACCAGGAGGGACTAGTCCCTGGAGAAGGACATCATGCTTAGTAGAGTGTCAGCGAAAAAGAGGAAGACCCTTAACAAGATGGATTGACACAGTGGCTGCAACAATGGGCTCAAATATGGCTATGATTATGAGGATGGCGCAGGACCGGGCAGTGTTTCATTCTGTTGGACGTGTGGTCGCTATGAGTCGGAACTGACTTGACTGCACCTAACAACATAATGCTCTGCAATTGCAAACACTAAAGAGTTTAGCAAGCATCCTGCCTCTTCCTGCTTAAAGCAACTCTACATTGCTCTAAAATTAAATTCTACTGGAAATCTCTGAAAACTACTACAAGTCCCTGGTTATGGTAAAAAATAAAAAATTATTTCAATCAACCAAAGAGTTAACTTCCTTTCCCTCAAGCCAGAAAAACAAGTGTTCACAAAGTCCCTGAAGGATCTAGATAAAATGATTTTTTTCTTTCCTGATTAATAGAGATTATGTTTTTTAAACAACAAAAAAAAGTAAACAACTTTTTTTGTGAATGGCCGGTAGGTTTAACTGAGAAAGCGTAAGTTTGGGAGACTCTTCAAAGGACTTTATATGCATATAAAATATATATATATATATATTTTTTTTTTTCAATGAAAATGGCAATAGGCCTTGTGAATCCAGCTCTATATGCAGTGGATTCTCAAAATATTTCCTTTATGTCATTAATAAACATATTGTTCTTTGGTATTTTATAAAGACTTTTTTTTTTTTTTGCCAGTAAAGTCCTATCCTACAGAATCTATTTTTTTAATTTGTGAATTTCGCTAAAGAATATTTTAATAACCTCTCTCTAAAATGTAATTTAGAAAATTAAACCGTGGAAGGGAGACAGGGAGAAAAGAAGAGATGTCCTATAGATAGTGCTTCATACTGAAAAATTTAGCAAATCAGTATACCTGGACAGTAGTAACATGATATAGTTCTCCTGGGCACAGAGTTTTGTTTGAAAACTCACCCTAGTAACTTGTCTCCCAGGCCTCAGTGAGCTTCAGAAAATAACATAAACTGCCACTCTTTGAAAGAAGCCCTGGTGGTACAATGATTAAGCGCCTGGCTACCGACCAAAAGGTTGGCGGTTTGAACCCACCCAACCACTCTGAGGAAGACAGACCTGGTGATCGGCTCCCATAAAGATTACAGCCTAGAAAACCCTATGGGGCAGTTCCACTCTGTCACACAGGGTTGCTAGGAGTTGAAATGGACTCTGGTCCCTAATGACAACAGTCTTTGCAGGTATACCAGTGTGCTTAATTTAGAGCAGGTTTTGTTGGGAACAAAGTGTTCTGGAATCCATGAACCCCTCGAAATTGCATAGAAACATTTTTGGGTATATCCATAGGTACATTTATTTTTCTGGAGAGAGGATCTCTAGATTT